TGTTTGAGATGGAAATCTTTTACCTGCCTCTGGCCGATATTATTCCGTCGACATAGTGGTTAGCGATCTAAACATCACAATTGTTTGGGGTGGTAAACTATGTCTACTCGGGGTCTGGCTAATATTCTCCCGTCAGTATAACAATTAGTGATCACATCACGATTGTCTGGTTGTTAGCAAAATAATTTCACCCACAGGTATACTGGCGTCCCTTATCTATACATTAGGGGTGAACTCTTTTTAACATGTACATACAAGCATTCATAAACAAGTCATTTCATTCTTCATAACATACATTCTACTGAAACATTTTCATTCATCTACTAATATGCATATTTACTCTAATGTGCAATTATTTATCATGCTTATCTTTCCTATCATGCATTTCTTATATATCATGTATATCATACACATTATGCATCTCATGCATATCATGCTCATCTTATATATATTTTTTATCATGCTTATCTTTCCTGTCTAGCAATATGAAGAATCTATTGTAATTTAAATATGAGCTAGAGCATACATGCAGTCAAACATACATTTTAAAAAAAAAAATTATTGAAATTTAGAAATATAATTATTTAATTCTGTTGTCATGTTAAATTCTTAATCTTCGGTAAGTATCTGGACGTTATGATAGTTTTTATGTTGATCTTAACAAGATATAGAACTTAATATCAACCTTAAGATTCAAATAAGTTTCCGCTATTTGAATTATTTTTCTTAAGTTAGCGCAAAATTATTTTATCTGAAATTAACAGAACCATCTTACGACTAGTTTCCACATGCTCGCCTCGAGCTCGCTACCTCGAGTAAATAACCTTGAATTTGGAAATATTTTAGAATTTCATAATACCTTAGCTCATAAAGTGATTTAACCCAAAGGTACATTAAATAAGCTTCACAACATAACCCAACCTTCTCGATAATGTAAAATCATCTTCCCTCTTCTCTCTATCACCTTATTCTTCTTCTAAATTTACTGATTTCTGACTAAAGACCTTTATGGAAGTTCACAAACCAAGTTATTTGCTTCCAACCCAACCAGGTCTCCGCTACGGCGACCTGAAATGAAAGAGGTGCACGATTTGTGGCAATCATCGAAACGGAAACAGGAGGGAGGAATGAAATGTCTCAAATAGCGTGAAATAGAAATTCCTACCCTTAGATATCCTTTCAGACCCCTGGACGGCTGCTTGTAGCACTCGGCGAGTTGTGCAATTCCTCTGTTCGCGAGTCTGGTATAGTGCAGGATCACGCCTGCTGCCGTGATTGATTGCTGAAGCTTGCGGGAAGAGGAATCGTGAGATGAGGAAGAAACACGATGACTCTGGACAGGATCCCTGCACTTCGACAGAAACCTACACTACATATCGTTTGAGTGTCGGTTGGGAAGAATAACCATGCGATTAGAATTTAATCACGATTTAATTAAATTTATTAAACTTGTATTTTTAAAATATTCTCTGACATTGAACTCATTGTTTATCTCCTCCTTTGAGACTTATCCCAACTGTGGTTTAAAATTGCATGAAACAAAGCATGCCTTGAGACACATCTCAGCATTTTATTGGGTATTTTGCAATGATACTCACGCCTCATGACGTGACGTGAGGTGTGCATTAAGGCATGCCTCATCTCAGTTTTGTTGAGGATTGATATATTAGAGCTTTTTTTTTTAAAATTAAGTATAAGTAATAAAACCCTTCTATTAGCCTAATTTATTCCGCATCCCTTATGCACACACAATTTCTCTTGGTTTTCTGACATACCAGAACAATTCTCTTTTATTATACTCCCTTCTTTGCTCCTTGTGCATGCTGTGACCTCCTTCCTATCCATCGCCATTGTTGTCTCCTACTTGTCAAGTTATTCTTCTCCACAGGAAATAGTACATCCTCTCACATTTCTTCTTCTTTCGATAACATTCTTTAAATCCCAAATTTCTTTTTCAAATCAAAATTTTTCTTTCTTTATTTATTTCTTGTTTATATGAACATTTGCATGTTTCAATTTTTCTTTGAATTAATATTTTTCATTTTAGGATTTTCTAAGAAATCATTAGAGAAAAGGAGAAAAGCACAACGATACAAAAGGCTTGACATGAAAACATTGTGTGCTGGCTGAATTGTAGGGTAGTGACAGGGCATATATGCGAGAAAGAGGTTCTATGAGATGTAACAAAAATAAGTGAGCACATATTGCACAATTTGCTATGATGCTTGAAGTGATAAAAGAGGATATTCGTGCATATGTGAATAAGGAGATGGTGTCGAATCATTTGTGCAATGACAATTTGATGATATTGTTGATGTATGGTTACATATGATTGTGCGAGTGGCAAAGATTCCTCATCTTCTTTGTTAAAGGCCTATAATTATCTGTAGAAGTGCAAGAGGACTTATTGATCAATAAATGATAAATGTGAAGGATGAGATGGATTATATTACATAAATGTAGCTAGCTCACTGGATATCTCCTGAAAATGGTAGAGAGGCTCGCAGGCATGTGTATGAATGTTGAAAGGATTATTTTACAAAAATTTCATTCCATTTAATTTGATGATCCTTTGTTCTTTCAATATGGCCCGTTTTATAGGTTTTTATGGCTGTCACTTGAAACCCTTCATTGCATGAGCTAAGAACTGGGATATTGAGTGAGGAACTAATAGCAATGAAAAAGTCATTGATGGGATAGGAGAACTCTAAAACATATTTAAGTGTTTTAACATGTTTGATGTTAATTTTATATCAAGAATAAAAGTTAATCAATATTTTGATTAACAATTTCTATGACACTTTTTTCTTAAAATGTATCTTTAATTAAACCTAATCTTCCCTTGGACAATCAAATTGTTCTTGCTAATGCCTACTAGCTGATCTAGCCATGCTTCATGTCTTTGGCCCAACTTTGATATGTTTTATACATAATACATTGTACTTTCACAGAACTATTAGTCTACTGTATTGGTAAACTTGTATGCCTTGGGTAATTTTCATTAAAGATGAACTTTAGGCCTTATCTTGAAGGGATACCTCTCTTGGCGTACTGCCATCTTGCAAGACTTCTGTTAGAAGGCAACTTATAACTGCTAGTTATACTTATTGGATGGCGATGCCTTTTGCCCCTCCAAAATTGGATTCACTTGGAAAGAATAAACTATGCGATTTTTCATTTCTTATCCATCTCCTCATCATAAATCTAAGTATGAATCACCAATTTTGAATGCAACTGTTTTTGGTGTTATTTTTTAATTGAGAGTGTTCTTGGAACTACATTTAGGCTGTAATTAATCATTAGGGCTCAAGTCTTTGGAAAACCTTGAACATTGCATCTCTTAAATAACCCCAACCAACCTTGCGAACCAACTTGGTGAATTTTCTAGGATATCTTTTTTAGGCTTTGTTTGGGGCCGCTTATTTGGCACGGCGCGACCACAAACCGTAGAAAATCTTTTTTTTTCCTATGGATTTCGCGTTTTGTGGGTGCCCTTCGGTATTTTCAGCGGAAAGCGGGCCGCGGGTTCGAGCTCGTGGCCCGCATTTTTGATGAATTAATTCCCTAGTTGCCCCACGTATCCTCTACACCATCAACAATGGCCACTGCTTCCTCCGTCTACTTCTCTTCTTCATTTCTTCTGTTTCCATGGAGAGATGGCAAGATAGCAGAGGTGTGACCTGTGAGGATCTACCTCTGCACAGTCCGCTCTCGTCCCAAGAAGAATTCCTCTTGATCCTCATCATCTCTCCCCCGCGTATCCTCTACGCCACATAAGGCTCCGGCGGCTCCGATGCTGAATGCGCCTCATTCGCCGCCCAAGAATCGACACTGAAAGGTGGGGGAGTTTCCGGGGGTCTCAGAGAGCTCAACATTGGATCTCTTCGGCCGCCGATTAAAAACATTAAAAGGAAAGTCGAAGACCAGAGGGCCGCTGAAGGTTGGGCTTGCCCGGTTACAGATGCTATTTCCGTTAGGATCCAGAAGAAGCAGTGGTGGGAGGCACTTGAGGTTTGTTAGTCCTGTTGGCTTTATCTCATTTTGTTTTTTTGGGATTTTTTTATAGTACCTTTGATTTGTCACCTGTTCTTATGCTTTCATTTTTGTTGATATTAATTTTACGAGTTCTACATTGTTCCTTGTTCTTCGTTCTTTATGTAATGAAGTTGCTGTTAGTGTGGGGTTAGCTTTGCTGAAACTGGTGGCAAAGTTATTTTTGTTAATGAAGGGTTGTTTGTGTTAAGATAGAGTTAGGAGTAGGCATGCATTGTCTAATCCCACCATAATCTGACCCTAATGCACCCTTCACCATTAACCTGACGATCTGGATTAAGATCAACTTTATTGTCAAGGTTTTTGGGTGAAGTTCATAACTCCTAATAATAAAAAAAAGGGCGTTAACAAATACTTCAAACAACATTATTCCAGAATATTCATTTATTTAGAAACAGCTGCCACGCACCTGTTTTCAAACTGTTAAAAACAAACAGTTAGTCAGCTTTCCCATAACAACTTCCCCGTAACAGGTTTTTGGGGCAGCTAAGCTGCAGCTGATAAACTGATAAGCTGCAGTTGCCCCAAACAAACCCTTAGTCCGCTTTTGAAACTTTGTTGCCCAACATCCATTCTCTAGACTCCGGAGAGAACTGTGGGCGCTTTTAAAGACAGCATTGGTTTTTTAAAATGAAAATAGGTCTCCCGCTCAAGCAGTTGTTCTTATCAGCTTTTGAAGTTTTTCAACTCTGCATTTATTTTATTTTATTTCTATGATTATGGTGCATGCTCCCTCGTTTAGATACCCCTGTTCCTGAAACTTATTGAGCACAGCTTGAAAGCCCTCACTCATCTAAGATTACCAAAGCTTCTAACAGAAAGTTCTATGACAAATTTGAGAGAACTGTAGACTATAAGAGGAAAAACTAAAAAGTGTAATACTTTTTAATCCAATGTTAGTTGTGGAAATTACTTAACATTTTTTGCTTCGCCTTCTCTTTTGGCAGTTTGGAGAGGTTGATATTGATAGTACACTCGTTGCTGATCATGCTTCTGTGGCTGAGGACATTATCATGGTTAATAATGGTTGTCTTTGCTGCACTGTGAGAGGCGATCTGGTGAAAATGCTTCTGAAATTGGTTAAGGAAAAAAGAGACAAGTTTGACCATATTGTTATAGAAACGACAGGTATCTTCGTTTTCCTTTCTAAATTCATCAATCACAACTTAAAAAGCATGTAAAGTTAGCTTGGAATGTACTGCTGTTATTATCAACTTATAAAGATTGATTACATGTGGCACTTTGCTGCATGTGAGGTTAGAGCTATCAATATTATTAGAAATTTATATCGCCAAATTTCATTATTGCACACTATATATGGTCCATCATCTCTGGCTTCTGTTCAAATCTTATAGAACCTTATTACAAAAATTCTTGTCTGAAATTCTTTTTGGTTTCATGAAACAATGAGTTGAGTTTTTTTTTTACCCTGCTAACTGTAAATAATAGTGTCTCTTCCTTGCAACCTTATTTTTTGGCTAAATTAAAGTTTATTTCATTGCGGGGCCCCAATTCTTGGATGCGAAAGGTGGAGGGTTGAGATAGGTGGTCGATAATCAACATAAAAATTTTGCCGAAAAACTAAATCCTCAAAATCATTGTGTCAATGCTAGGACTAAATTACAGTTTATGATTGTAATTTGACCATTAGGAATGTTTGTTCCTTGTGCGTACTTGTATGACGATTAGCTAATTTTTCTTTCTTTTATTTCTCAGGCCTTGCTAAACCTTCTCCTGTGATTGAGACTTTCTGCTCAGATGAATTGGTTGCAAGTCATATAAAGCTTGATGGTGTAGTCACTTTAGTTGACTGTAAGCATGCGATGCGTCATTTGAATGAAGTGAAACCAAGATGGGTTGTGAATGAGGCAATAGAGCAAGTTGCTTATGCTGACCGTATAATATTAAACAAGGCGAGTATGCATTGTTCTTTAATCCAGTAGAATTTTGTTATAAAATGCATTTTTATTTGTTTTTCACTATGTGTTCTGATGGACTATTTCCCTTTTAAATTTTATAGTAGCTTGTATATTTCTGAAATTGTTAATACGTTCTTTTTTGATATATCCTTTGTTGTGGCAGATAGACCTAGTAAGTGAAGCTGAATTGGAAACCCTGGCTAAGAGAATCAGGGTATTTTTCTTTGTTTAGATTAGTAATTGTAATTTAAGATTATTATGAATTAATGCTCGATTATATTTTCCATAACAAAACTTATTCTGTTTTAGAGTATAAATGGGATAGCACATATACAACATGCTAAATATGGAGCTGTTGACGTCAACTTCGTCTTAGGTGTGGGTGGATATGATCTTGACAGGTCATTTGCTCTATCTGTGCTTCACTATTGTTCGTTGTCAGCTAGAATAGAACATAACTGCAATTTTCTCGATTTCCTCCATTAAAAAGTTTTTTCTTTTTCCTTCTGCAGGATCGAGTCAGAGATTCATGTTCATTCAGACCAGCATTCTACACATCATCATGAACATGGTCATGGTAATTTCTTTCCTACTTATGAGAAAGAGCATACTTCATGCTTGTTAGTTTATGTTATTTAAATTACACTACAACAATTGCATGTTCCCTTTCACAGTTATTTTACATCTTTCCCAAAGCAGCATTCTTATATTTCGCTATAACATTCTTTCTGTTTTTTTCAGAAATTTTTATGATTAAAGCAACTTTTTACAACAAGTTACACTAGAATGTAGTCGCTGTAAGAAAATATTTGTTCTACTTAAAAAAAAATCTGAATTACTACCAAAGGTTTCAAAAAAAAAAAAAAAAAGAGAAAATACTGAAAATTATAGAACTACTTCTACACATAATTTCACCCCTCGTCTAGGCAGCATTAACACTGCTCAGAGCTCCCATTGTGCACGTTTTGTAAGAGTCTAATGAGGCAGCTTAGAAACATGGTAGCTTGTTTGTTTGGAAGGGATTAACCTTTCCGTTTACCTCAAAACGCGTTTGGAGCATGCCGTTATGCTTACCCAACTCTTTCCGTCTAAAAGGGAACATTATGTTAAATGGGATTTATCATGTCAAATTGATTAAATATTTTTCTTTATCTTCCGAATTGGGTCTCTATGTATCTGAAATGTTAGAAGGTAGAGAAAACTGGAAATGACTATTGTCATTATTGAATTTTTGTACTAATATATACGCACAATATATACGCACATGTGGTGATAATATATACGCACATGTGGTGAGAGAGAGAGAGAGAGACAGAGACAGAGATAAAATAGTAGATGTAATAAAGGTGAACATCAATAATGTTGAATTATTGCACTAATAAATAATATGGATTCTTACCATAAATGCTTTATGTTAGGTTATAATTTGGATATGTTAATACTATTTTCATCTGATGATCCAATTAGGAGAGTAGATATTTTTGATTCGACTTGTGTTTAGAAAGATAAAGGTAGACCTCAAAAGATTTGGGCATATTGCATAAAAAATAATCTTAATTTATTAGATTTAAATGAAGATGACACTCAATAGGATACAAAGGAGAAAAATGATTCATGTAGCTGACCCCACTTAAGAGGGATAAAGGCTTTGTTATTGTTGTTGTAATATTCCCTGTGAACTAATGTGGCGTAGAAAATGCCTACTTAAGTTGAAAATAGTAGTAACAAGATATCAAATTCCCAAAGATTCCGTTATTTAGAGATTGCATTGGTGTTAGAAGCACTGGAGGAGGTTGCATGAGTAGCGAGCTAGGAGAGATTGAATTTCTTTAATATTATGTTAACGGGGAGAGGTAGAGAATTTGGAGGGACTATATTTATGGAATTATAAAATCAGCACAAGCAATACATGCTTATATTTAGGTTAAGTGAATAAGAAGTAAAAAAAATTAATAAAGGAAATAATGAGGAAATATTATGATAATGAATAACAGAGTTATGCCACAAATAATTTACACTATGTGATAATTCACATATAATACTTACTATTCAGATTGTATTTTCCAGATCATCATGATCATGTGCATGATTCAGCTGTCTCTAGTGTCAGCATCGTTTCTGAAGGAACCGTCGACCTTGACGAGGTAAAATTATGCACGAACTTCATTTATTACAAAAGAGTTGCATTGAAGTTTGTGCTTGGTTTGAACTCTTCCACTTTTAACCTCTTCTCCATGTACTTATGCTGATTTGACAGTTCAATGATTGGGTTGAGAGATTGGTTGATGAAAAGGGCGATGACCTCTACAGGATGAAAGGTGTTATATCCGTCAAGGAATCTACAGGACGCTATGTTTTCCAGGTTTGTTTACATATCTGTTGCTGAATCTCAAGTTTGAGTAGTTTTAAAAGGTTGGCAAAGTTTGCTAAATTCATTATTTGTTTCCATGCAGTTAGAAATTATGATTTTTTCTTCTAATATGATTTGAACTTGTATTTTTTTGTCAATTTATATTTTTGCATCTATGGTTTTATATGATCACCAAACACTATATCGCACCGCTATTTATGACCTGTAACCTAAGAATTACATGTTAAAAGCGTTCTGTCATTTTTACAATAATTAACTATTTACTAGACATATGGAAAATACAAACATGATTGGACAACATACAAAATATTTGTAAAAAACAATCTATAAATTTCAGAAATCATAACTATCCAATATTAATTTAATATATAGCAAGAAAACAATCTATTTTGATTCCAGTTCATTTGGACTGTAATCTTTGCATGCAATCAGAACGATTCATCTTGACAAATCTGATGCATCCCATTATTGATCAAATGATCATAAAAATTACTTAAATTATGCATTCTGCTAGTTTTAATGATCTTAAAAAGAAATAATGTCTGTTTGTCTTACATTTGAAAATGCAGAACACTGATTCTCCTTATGAGAGTAAAGTTCATCTTTTTACAAGCAGCCAACTGATTCCTAATGATTGTTTTTATACTTAGGATGTAAATTTAATCGGCAAGTCATGTGATTTGATCAAAATCACATCATAATGGAGGATTTTATTTTCTGTTTCTGTTTGTTCAGGGAGTGCACTCAATCATTGATGGTTGCCCGGCAAAGCCATGGGGATCTGGTGAGATGCGGATCAACAAACTTGTATTTATTGGAAGAAATCTTGATGAAAGTGCTTTGAAGAAGGGCTTTTAAGGGTTGCTTGCTTTGATTTGAAAAAAAAAAAAATAAAATAAGGAGAATATTTTATGATCATGAATGAATTCACATTTACTGTGTCCTTGAGGCTTGTATGTTTATTTAGAAAACAAATGGTAAATGAAATCTAATTAAACCAAAAATGTGAAATTACAGATTGTTTTGTTGATAGTATTATTTGTAGGAGTTTATGATGTTTTAAACTAATGTATGATGTTTTGTTGTTGATTGGGGATTTTTGTATGGGACAAGCAAAGTTTATGTGGAAATTTACACAATTGGTGGTTGGGATAAATTATTGATGATTATGATTTTTCTTTTCTTTCCTTTTTTTTTTTTTGTTTGGGAACCTTTTGGAAAAAGTACAAGTTATTGAAAGTGTTTGGTAAAAGTGTCTCCTATTATGTTTATTGGTTCAAAATTTGCTTATTGATTATTTTAAAAAAAAATTAACATAATTTTAAAAATACTAAAAACAACATAAGCTTGTTTTGAGTATTTTTAAAAATAAGTTAATTTGATTTTTTTTAAAAATGAAAGATAAAAGTATGCAAAAGTAATGGAACCCAAATCATTGCTCTCTATAATTTTCTGTGAAAGAATAATGTTAAAATATACCAACTTCATGCAGAACCCACGTCATAAGTATGCAGAGATGCATGCGGTGTCCAATCTCTATCATTCATCATAACAAATTAAAAAAAAAGAAATTTAAAATAGGACCCACGGTCATAAATCTTTGCTGTGATGGACGGTGAAGATCAGATAATGCATACATTTCTGCATATGATGTCCGTACGAATAATGAAACTCTAACTTTAAACTTGAATCCCATCATGCCTTGTACTCGCTTCAAATAATTATTCAATAAGAAAAATGTCACGATTGCCGAAAAGGATTATTTTTTGACATGGACGGGCATTGCATGCGCTTAATATGTAAAATGTGCAGCTTTTGTTGAAGATTTGTGCCTTTAGAAGATACTGGAAATAACGATATCATTGTTACGGTTTCCTGCGTCATTGTGAAAGCGACTTTCCCACTTGCCTTCAAAAATCAAACAAAGAAAAGTTATTTCAAGATATATTTGGGTCACTTGACATGTTTTGTGTATTATTAATCCATAACATTTGACGCCCACTTGGTTTATTCAATGCATAATTAATACTAATTAATGGAGTTTAATGTAAACTCCAGTTTGTTTTGCACACGCTTGATGAAAGGGTTTCTGCAAACTGTTATGTTGACTAAAGCCTCAAAATAGTTCCTGACTATTTGCATGAGGCCATTTTAATTCTAATATGTATAGAAATGCAAAAAATATTGTTTGACTATTTTAAAATTGAGCTCTAATATTATTTCATGTGGAATATTTGCGCCTCAATTTAAAGAGTAGGACTAATTTGCATTTCTATGAACTCTAAGACTAAAATGGTCTCATATAAATAATCGGGGGACTATTTCAACAATTTACGCCTTTTGTGTCTCTGTTGTAATTTTTTTTTTCTTAAAACATATATCCTGTACCTATTTCATAAATTAAATTTAGGATATATATATATAAAGAAAATCAAAAAGGAAATCGATATTTGGCAGATGCCCAAATATCGATTTCCCATGTGCATCAAGGCCCCCTGATAAGAGCCCGCGCCATGTGCTTAACTATTCAGGAACCCTACGCCACGGGAGATCGAACCTGTGACCTGAGGGGACTAACAGTGAATCCCGCCAACCAACAGACTACGGCTTGCGGCGCACATATATACACTCACAAAATTCAATAAAATAATGGCATAAACCCTAAAATTTTTGTCTCTGACTATCAAATCCTAATCGATCTCTTCTATCGAATGTCCAACAAGAGCATTGATCTTTGTCGATGTGTTGGTGATCCTAATCAATCATTTTGTAATTGTAACAGATTTTTCCATATTATAATCAGCCTCTTCACATGGTTGCAGACGAGTGTGTAATCCGACTTTAGCCTCTTAACTTGATGCTTTTCGTGTTATTTAATTTGATAAATTTTAGTTCATTTTCATGGGTTTGATCTTTTAGTAGTTCATCTCAAAATACAATTTCTAGTGTCTATTTTCTATTACAGATTGGAGTTTCAGCAACCTAATTTTTTCTGAGATGAGACTTAGAAAGGCAATACATGATTAAATCTATACAATCTCATGCTTTCTGCTGCATATACTTGCACTTGAAAAAGACATTAGCATTTTTTGATCCTTTAGGTTAGGGCTTTGGGCAATTTTAAGTAAGGTGTCATTCTTTTGGTTTTCTTAAGTAAGTTGATTGATGGATTTCAATTTTAATTTTATTGGAGAAAGGGCTATTTCTGCTTTACAATGAGGGGTTACATGTTAATTAAAGAGTTATATTGATTTAGTTATGGTTGTTCTAAGTTTTTTGTATTAATTAAGTCTTTCATTAGCCATTTTTTATCATGATTTTACTTGAGGAAAAAATAGAACTCCACTCAAAGAACTTATTAACTTTCATATAAATTATGCAAAATTAGGGTTAATTCAGAGGAAATTCAAAAACTATTTCCCATGGTTTAGGTTGGTAATTAGGGATAAAATATTTAATTAAATCTTTTTACTGTTTCTTAAATATTTAATTTTCACCGTTGGTTATAATTTTCTCTTATTTTCCTGAAGAAAGAATATTCTCCCCTTTCTAGGCACTATGTTAAATAATTAGGGATACTTTGGTAATTTTATCTAATTCGGTGGGCATTAGGGTTAAGGTTTTATTTTCTTAGGTTTAAACTTATGTTGACCTCAATTTTGGTGATGTTTTTCTTTCTTCTTAGTAATTAGGATCTAGTCGTAGGACTTTTTTTTTTACTATCATAGAAAACTAGAGATGGAACCCACCTACATAGAAATTCAAACCACTTCCTTACTCTCTTTGGAACCCACATGAATGGTCTTGAACCCCCAACACTTGGAAGGTTGAGACCAACATGTGAGGATTTAAGGATGAGTCCCCATAGGACTGTTGGACTTAGAGCAACCTTGGGTGGCTAGGGTTTGGTCTCTCACACACTCAAGCACATCACATTTCCCCACTTGTCCTAAAACCCACCCTGAAATCTACACCCATTAAATCAACCTCCTTTACTCTTTAAGAAAGTCACAAGGATAGTCCCAAGCCTCTAATCTTTGATTGAGATTGCTATGATCAATATGTGAAGGTTCATGAAGGGGCTGCCATTTGTCTAGGCTTGATCCCAAGGTGGTTAAGTGTGGTTAAGACCCATGACCAAATATCGCTAAACCCTAAACATACATAAAATTCCCAATTTTGCCAAAATTACCAAATTGCCCCTGGAACCCTAAAATTCTAAAAGTAGCTCAAATCCTCAAATTCTCTCCAAAAATCATGAAAAACCATTTCAAGCTACTCAAATTGACTAAAATACCCTAATTTTCACAAAATTCCCAAAATACCCCTAAAATTGTAAAAAATACCAAAATGCCCTTCATGCCCCAAAATTCCCAAAAGCTCTCAAATGATTCCAAACCTCCCCTAAACCAATCCAAACCACCCAATAAACCCAAATTGACCAAATAGACCAATTTTGACCAAAATCCCAACTTTTGCCCCTGAAGGCCCAAAACCCCCAATTTGCACCCAATTGATCAAATTGGCCCCTAATTTTCACCCAATTCACTCCTAACCTACCCAATTGCAAAGTTCAAATTCAATTTCAATCAAATACAAGCTCATTTGATTAGCCCATAATCAATTCCAAAGTTTAAAGTCCTTCATGCATGATTAAAAGCCCATTTGTATAAATAATTTTCAAAAGCCCATGAGATCAATTTTAAAAGCCCAATTTGAGCCTGCATGACAAAAAAACCTTCTCCATCATCTCATGGCACTTAAGGCATCTAACCATGGCATCATACCAACCTAGCCATGCATACATGACATCTTACCAAAATAAGGCAAGTTGACCTTTTTCATTAAAAGTTCACAACATCCAAAATCTTTTTTGCATGAAACTTTTCCATGGGCTCATACATGGCATGGCATTCCCCATGGAGCCTTCCATGGGCATCATAAAGTCAAATTTGCCAAATTTGGGAAGTGGAGGTGATCTCCCCCTCTTCCCTCTCCACTTGGATTTACCCTTCTCATGCAAAGTGTAAACTTGGTTTTATGCCACAAACCAACCATTTGACTTCACCAAAAGCTGCTCAAGGGTCTTAGGATCAACCCCAACCAACTTGGTGCTAAGTTTAGCCATGTGACCAAGGAGTTGAACCCAACCTAGCCTAACTTACCCAAACGCCATTTCCACTTTTGATTTTCACCATGGAGCCACCTTGGGACCAAATTGGCTTAACCACTCAACCTCCCTGACTTCCCTGAAATTGGAAGTGACATGACCCTGGTCATCCGACAACCACAACCGTCGGAAAATTCCATGCTTGAGCGGCCCCAATTGGGGAAAACCCAAAATTGAACCTACATGAGCTGACTCACTCTAATTGGCCACTAGAGCTTTTCTTCCCTCTACTTAGGTGGCCTCTCTGCCACCCTATCTTGCCCTGTTGGCCACCATGCCCATGTTTATAAGTAAGACCACCCCACACGACAAAATAAGAAGTGTGCCCAAACCTTAACCAAACTCTACCAAAATTTCTCCAGTCCCTCTAGTAGTCCAAAGAAGCCAATCCCCACCATTTTTCTGCCATAATTCCCACTGATTAGTGTCAACATCAGGCATGAACTCCAAGGCTTTTCACTGCCATCTCTGGAACTCAATCAATTCTCCAAATTGATTGAACTTGAGCTTCACCAGAGCAAGAGAGAAAGTCCTCATTGAAACCCCCATCAATTGAGCTCTCTGCACTGGACTTATACCAAAGACGTGCCACCTGCTGAAGTAAGTCTTACACAGCTCCAACCTAGCTCTAATTGACACTTGGAGGAGGTTCGACAGTCCACAACGAATGTGTAGAACCATTCCAATTGAGGCTACACCACTTG